ATGAATTTGCTTCGACAGAGCAGGCTAGATAGACTCAACAGAATTCGCGACTTCATTAAAGATGTCATTGACTATTAAGCCTATAGGGATTGAGGAAATAATTGAAGTCATCCAATTATTGCCGAAAAATAAAGCTCCGGGTATTGATATGATTTGTCACGCTACGTAAAAGCCTTGCCTACTAAATCGTTCATTTAAATAGCATTGATTTTTTAATCCCAAAGTAACGGAAATTAGCTGCGATTCTGATGATCCACAGACCCGACAAACCAGAAACAGATTCTGAGTCGTATCTCCCTGCCATATCGACAGTGTGGGAAAGGCTTACTGCTCAACGGCTCCGATTAGTCATAAGCCAATAACATTTTTCTTCGGACCACCAGTTTGGCTTCAGACATGGCACAGTATAGCAGGTTCGCAGACTAGCTTTGCACATCCTGCAGGCTTTCAATGAGCTTGAATACGGCAATGCAGTTTTCAACGACATGCAGCAGCCTTTTGATAGAGTCTGGCTTGTTAAGCAAGCTTAAAAGCTTTTAACTGCACTCTACTTTGGGCTCTTCAGGGCATTTACATAGGCCGCAAGGCAGCCGTCAAATTCGACCCTTGGCGCATCAGCAGCAACTACAGCAACGGCAGAAAAACCAACAACATCCACAGCAACGGCTCTTATCGCGGAATCGACTGTGATGTCGACTGCAGCGCCAAATACAACGTGAACTAAAAATATGACAACAAAACAAAACCAAAATAATATTCAACAAGAAAGGAAGCGAACTTCGGCAAGCCGAAGTTTATATACCCTTGCAGTTATTACAAATCGACCACATTTCGATTTCTATGCCTATATTACTAAAAACAATGAAGCTATGTCGATTTTGCGCTGCAATTTGCCATCGTTTCTATGGCAGATATTGTTGTTCGATTTTAATTTAATTAAAACCGTAATTCCATATCCCAAAGAACAACAAAAATAATTAACAAGAAAGGAAAGCTAACTTCGGGCGGAGCCGAAGTTTATATACCCTTGCAGAATACTCTGTAAATTATATTCTCCAAAATTATTGATATGATGCATTCTTAATACTCATAAAAAATCCCAACTTCCTAACTTTAAAAACACCAAAGTTATGGCATTTCCAATCGTTCAGTTATATGACAGCTATAGGATATAGTCGGCCGATCCTTATGAAATATGGTAGATCGGATTGATTGGCCAAATATAAAACCCATAGGAAATCCCAGCATTCTTAATACTCATAAAAAATCCCAACTTCCTAACTTTAAAAACACCAAAGTTATGGCATTTCCAATCGTTCAGTTATATGACAGCTATAGGATATAGTCGGCCGATCCTTATGAAATATGGTAGATCGGATTGATTGGCCAAATATAAAACCCATAGGAAATCCCAGCTTCCTAACTTTACAAACACCAAAGTTATCTTAACTTTCTAACTTTACAAACACCAAAGTTATGGCATTTCCAATCGTTCAGTTATATGGCAGCTATTGGATATAGTCGGCCGATCCTTATGAAATTTGGTAGGTCGGATTGATTGTCCAAATATAAAACCCATAGAAAATCCCAACTTTCTAACTTTACAAACACCAAAGTTATGGCATTTCTGATCAATCAGTTATATGGCAGCTATAGGATATAGTCGGCCGATCCCGGCCGTTCCGACTTATATACTGCGTGCAAAGGAAAGAAGGGTGTGTGTAAAGTTTCAATTCGATAGCTTTAAAACTGAGAGACTAGTTTGCGTAGAAACAGACAGACGGACAGACAGACGGACAGACGGACATGGCTATATCAACTCAGGAGGTGATCCTGATCAAGAATATATATACTTTATAGGGTCGGAGATGCCTCCTTCACTGCGTTGCACACTTTTGACCAAAATTATAATACCCTCTGCAAGGGTATAAAAACACAAGAAGGCATATTTATATTAAGTTGTTTAACTGAGTAACGGGTATCTAATAGTCGAGGCACTCGACTATAGCGTTCTCTCTGGTTATATTATATGGGTTCTATGGGTTTTATTGTTGGCCAATCAAACCCACCTACCAAATTTCATAAGGATCGGCCGACTATATCCTATAGCTGCCATATAACTGAACGATTAGAAATGCCATAACTTTTGTTTGGATTTTTTATGAGTATTAAGAATGCATCATATGAATAATTTTGGAGAATATAATTTACAGAGTATTCTGCAAGGGTATATCAACTTCGGCTCCGCCCGAAGTTAGCTTTCCTTTCTTGTTTTTATTTAAAATTCTATAATTTATTTTAACTATAAGCGCAAGGGTAAATAAACTTTAGTGTTTAGGGGAACTCTAGAAAGAATGTTTTTTCTGAAATTTGTAGAATGTTTTTACTTGTTACAGTATTTCGATCATAATATCCTTTTAATATAGATGTATTAATATCGCATATTCCACAGATAAAATGGACGGATTGCTGTTCCACGTTATCCACGCCATTCTTGTCCCAGGAAAGGAGAAACGAGGCTTTTCGTGAAGTTTAAAAGTAAAATTTACAATTCAAGACTCCCGAGATAACTTCATCATATACAAAAGCAACGTTGGAGAACTCAAATCTTACTTTAAAACCAAAACAGATGAAAACAACAGAAAAAACAAAACTTTGCAACCATTAATTCGTTGCATTGGGTCAAGCTCATTTTGCATTGAAAAACATTTTGTTTACGTTTATTACGAATTCCCGATATGTTGAGTAGCGTATCAGTGTGCTTAAAAATTTTTGTAGTTTTAAATGTTCCTAAAAACGGATATAAAAAATATGATACTTTGCGAGCTGATAAATGATTTGAAAAACAAGAAAGGAAAGCTAACTTCGGGCGGAGCCGAAGTTGATATACCCTTGCAGAATACTCTGTAAATTATATTCTCCAAAATTATTCATATGATGCATTCTTGATACTCATCAAAAATCCCAACTTCCTAACTTTAAAAACACCAAAGTTATGGCATTTCCTATCGTTCAGTTATATGGCAGCTATAAGATATAGTCGGCCGATCCTTATGAACTTTGGTAGGTCGGATTGATTGGCCAAAAATAAAACCCATAGAAAATCTCAACTTCCTAACTTTACAAACACCAAAGTTATGGCATTTCCGATCAATCAGTTACATGGCAGCTATAAGATATAGTCGGCCGATCCTTATGAAATTTGGTAGGTCGGATTGATTGGCCAAATATAAAACCCATAGAAAATTCCAACTTCCTAACTTTACAAACACCAAAGTTATGGCATTTCCGATCAACCAGTTATATGGCAGCTATAAGATATAGTCGGCCGATCCTTATGAAATTTGGTAGGTCGGATTGATTTGCCAAATATAAAACCCATAGAAAATTCCAACTTCCTAACTTTACAAACACCAAAGTTATGGCATTTCCGATCAATCAGTTATATGGCAGCTATAGGATATAGTCGGCCGATCCCGGCCGTTCCGACATATATACTGCGTGCAAAGGAAAGAAGGGTGTGTGCAAAGTTTCAATTCGATAGCTTTAAAACTGAGAGACTAGTTTGCGTAGAAACAGACAGACGGACAGACGGACAGACAGACGGACAGACGGACAGACGGACATGGCTATATCAACTCAGGAGGTGATCCTGATCAAGAATATATATACTTTATAGGGTCGGAGATGTCTCCTTCACTGCGTTGCACACTTTTGACCAAAATTATAATACCCTCTGCAAGGGTATAAAAATATGCCAGCTGACAAGTTAAATACTTTATAATTTCAACTTAAAACATTACTTTTATTACATTAATATATTTTTTCTTGTTTTTTCTTCATTTTAATATTATTGCGTAAATTGAATTTGAATTTCACATTATGTTTTTCCGTTTTTTCTTTGTGATTGTTTTCTTATCTTAATTAAATTAAATTTTTTATATTATTCTTTAATTTCTAAAAATACAAAGTAATACTAATAAAAAATGATTTCCTGTAAAATTAGCTTGTTAGTCTTGGACAACATTGATAACTTTCTGTTCCATATCAAGAAAAATTACACTCTAAATCCATGTCTAAGTTTACCCTGCTGCTTTCCAGATTGCGTTTAAAATTTTTCCAGTTTTAAAAGTTTATCTGCGCACACGAAAAAAGAAGCCCTAAATTCTCTATAGTATGTGCAAATGAAACCATATAACAGAGCCTTTAAAAAAAAATAGAAAAAACATATTCTAATCTTAAAGATGCAGGCGGATTGTCAGAAGTTGAAAATGACCTCAAGAACCTTTTAACTTATTGTGAAGACCCATTCAAAGGTTTTTCGAAACAATATAACTTAATTAAAAAACTAAAACATCGAAATTTATATATTTGCGTTGACGACTCTAAATGAAATAAGATAGATCCGTTGGGGTTTCAATTACGAAAGTTTTTTAAGCTACGAAACGTATTTTCCAGTTTCATACAAACGTTAAAGTTTTTAAAAAAAATATTATTAATTTAGTGAATGGAAACCACACAATTCATTATATTGCAACGGTATAAAAAAGTTTTTACAAATATAGAAAATATTACATGCTTTGGGCACATTCAATTACGCAACCTAAAATACAAAAGATGTAATGTTTTGTATAATTGTAAGCCAGAAAAAATGTTTGAAGCTTATGAGATTAAAGAGATTTGTAAGAGCTTTAACAACTTTTGAACTGTTGAAATCGAATATGATGATAATATGATTTTCCTCCTATCGAATACCATTCAATTCACTATAGTTTTCGCCTGAAAGAAATATGTTATTTTTAAGAAAAAGTTAAGTTCAGGTTGTCAAATATCTCCCTTACGCTTTTTTTGGTTTTTAAATTTGGCGGCTTTGTGTAAAGCGCCACATATCGGTATCGGGCAATGCTATATATCGATTGAAAGGTTTAGACATAACCTACAAAACGACGCTATTCAAAACAAGTTTGGTTATTGCGTTGAAAAGTTATACATGTCTAAACATGGAGTTCGCTAACGCCGGAATTCGCGCTGTCTTAAAGTTTTCCTTCGTAAAAGGTAAATCCGCTGGAGAAACATTCAGTGAGATTAATGGTGTTTTAGGAGATGGTATTCTATCACTTCGAACCGCGGAGGAATGGTTTCGACGATTCAGAGCCGGTGAAAACGACACCATGGATAAGCCAGCCGGCGGAAGACCTGTGACGACGAATACCGATCAAATCATGGAAAACATCGAGCTAGACCGGCAGGTGACTTCTCGTGACATCGCCGAGGAGATAGGAGTTAGTCACCAAACCGTTTTTAACCATCTGTAGAAGGCTGAATACAAAAAAAAGCGGGATGTTTGGGTGCCGCATGATTTGACGCAAAAAAACCTTTTGGACAGAATCAACGATTGCGATATGCTGCTGAAACGGTGACTGGCGACGAAAAATGGATTACATACGACAATATCAAGCGAAAACGGTCTTGGTTAAAAGCCGGTGAATCGTCCAAAACAGTGGCCAAGCCGGGATTGACGGCCAGGAAAGTTTTGCTCTGTGTTTGGTGGGATTGGAAGGGAATCATACACTATGAGCTCCTCCCATGTGGCCAGACGCTTAATTCTACCATCTACTGCGAACAACTGGACCGCTTGAAGCTGTCCGCAGACGGACATGCTTATATCAACTCAGGACGCGATCCTGATCAAGAAGATGTCAAAATGAGAATACCCTCTGCAAGGGTATAATTAATATATGTTTATCACGTTTTGAATTGTTATCGCTTAATTCACTAGAGACTTCAAGTTGAAAAAGCAGAAACGATTGTGGAAATGTTAAGGTCGGGCAAAGATTTCTTATCTTAATCGGATTTTTAAAGCTTTTAATCAGCAAATTAACAAAGTTTTTGCGAAAAGCGTGACAAACAATTTGTTTAAATGGTGCCACCACCATTTCCAACCGCGATTATTATTTGTGAATGAAATCAGTTGTTATCTCTGTTCGTTTACGTTACGCTTAGTTGGTCCTATCAAAATCAAAGCAAATCGACAGAAAGTAAATATTTGCATGTCACTCGACATTAAGTGGCCACTTAACAGGGTTTTGTATTGAAGCTGATCGCGATTTTGCAATGGGATCATTGCTACCTAGGAGTACACTTGGGCAGAGCGGTAGTATGGCGAGCCCACATCTCGGCAATCAAAGCCAAATGCCTGCAAAAGCTACAAAAGCTTGACTGGCTCCTGCGCTCGAAAAAACTGCACTTCTCAAATAAGGCCCTGCTAATTAAAGCCATTATCACGCCTACTTGGACGTACGCCATTCAAGTATGGGGCACTGCCTCTAAGCATCAGCTTGAGAGGCTTAGAGTTGTGCAATCACGTGCAGCTCGTCGAGCATCCGGGCTCCCCTGGTACGTTACTAACTGTGCCATCGAGAGGGACTTTCGACTATTACCTATCGGGGACCAAATCAGTCTACACAGCAGTCGTTACGCTGACAGGATAGTGGCACATCCAAATTCTCTGACGAGTGACCTAGCTGAGCCAATTTCTCTCCGACGGCTGAAGAAGCTACATCCCACCGATCTCCCTACTTGTAAGATCTTATAATATGTTCTCACTTATTTTGTTACTTCGCAACTCGTAATAATTGTTACTTAGTATTTAAGGCTACTATGTATCCATAAAACTCTTTCTCGTTAATTACGCTAGGTTAAGTTCAGAAGGCACTGAACAGATTCCAGTGAATAAAAAATAAATAAAATAAAAACAAAACAATGGGAGCTCCCCGAAATTCAGTTCACTTGCTGCATAAAGTCACAAAGAAAATGCATTCATCTTGGGCAACTTATGCATTGGTTGTTATTAAGACATCCTATTGATAAATACCCCACTACTAAATAAAAAGGGTCAACGGAGGAACCTTCAATTCCTACAGCTTTGTTCCATTCTCCCTGCTGGATTTTCGACAACAAAGCATTTGACATTACCTGAGATATTCAATGCTTTTAGCCCATTTTCCACGGCGTTGAAAACGTGTCAAATGGAGCAAGGAAAACGGCGACGCGATAGTTATGGGGAAAAAGAAGTTTATTTGTTCGGTGCAGCCATGGAAAGGCATCTACATTAGAGCTGGGAAACTTTTGATGGCACTATCGAGGTATCGAATATTTGCCTCTCTGCGCTACTATCGATGGTTTTTTGACACTATCGATAGTGCTGGGCAATTTTCGCACCGCACAAAAAACGATACTATAAATAGTATCGAATTTATGTTCCCAAACCATCGAAAATATTGAATGGCACCACCATCGATAGTTTCCCAGCTCTACGATACACTTCCGACGAAGCAGAGCAGAGCATGCTGAGCCCATCCCACAAGTCGGAAGAGGAGACCGCCGAGCTGATATCTGCAATGGCCAACAACAAGGCACCAGGCGATGATGGTATCAATGCAACTGCATTGAATCTTCTCCCTCCCAACAGCAAGAAGCTCATCACGCTTATTTTTAATAAGTGCTTGCAAATGGGACACTTTCCATCACTATGGAAGCGTGCTGAAGTGGTCATGATACCTAAGTCTGGCAAACCTGAAGCTAATCTCGCCTCTTATAGTTTAATCAGTCTACTGACAGTGCTTTCCAAGGTACTCGAAAGAGTATTTTTGAGTAGAGTACTGCCGGTAATGGACGAGGCTGGTCTGATCCCCGATCACCAGTTTGGATTCAGCTGCTGCCATGGGACTCTGGAACAATGCCACAGGCTAATACAGTGCATCCTGGACGCTTTTGAAACCAGAATGTACTGTTTAGTGGTGATGTTGGATATCAAGCAGGCCTTTGACCGGGTCTGGCACCCCGGCCTCCTCCTAAAGCTGAAAACCGGCCTGCCTCAGCCATACTTTAGATTTCTAAGGTCATTTCTGGAGGACCGAAGGTTTGCTGTCAGATGCGGAGAAACCCGACCTGCCATTAAAATTGTCCGTGCTGGTGTTCCCCAAGAAGCGTATTAGGCCCCATGATGTATAACGTCGTCGCGACCGATCTCCCGGTGCTGCGGAGACCGGACTTAACGGCTGCCACCTATGCCGACGACACCGCAACTCTGGCTGTAGCGGACTCCCCAGTTGGAGAAGCAACTCCACCTACTCAACAATTGGCAGAGGAAGTGGAATATCTTCGTAAATGGAGACAAGTCCACCGCAACCACTTTCTCCACCCGAAGGGGCAACTGCCCTCCGGTGTCCCTCAACGACATCTCAATTCCACAGGTGGACACGCCTACTTGGGCTTCACCCTCGACAGAAGGCTGACCTGGAGAGCGCACTTGCTCAAGAAGCGTCGCCAGGCCGAGTCCAGAGCCAAATCCCTGTACTGGCTGATCGGTAGGAGGTCCAAGCTGCCGACATCCTCGAAGCTGTGTGTTTACAAGGCGGTCGTCAGGCCCATTTGGACGTATGGGATACAATTGTGGGGCTCAGCCAGCAAGTCCAACATCAACTGCATTCAGGTGCTGGAGAATAAAATACTACGCATTGCCACGAACGCCCATCTATTTCACGATAACGCCACAATTCACGAAGTGGGTGGAAGAAGAAGTCCAGAACCTATTGATAAATAATAAACTTCACGCTATTAAAAAAAAACAGGTATGGCTGATTTTTTTTTCAAAAGAGGTAGGGGTTTGCTTCTCAAATAAAGCTGGGAATTTGGTTTTAACTTCTATTCTAGAAAGATTCTCGACTGTCTTGCATTTTTGTATAGCAAAAGCTCTTTTTCTTGCCGGGCATTCAAGCTCTGTAGCAGAATGAGGCTGTTTGCAATTAGAGCACTTTAGAACTGCAAATTTCTCCTCTCTTGGATGCAAGAGGGAGCAGTCGCGACAAATTTTATGGGTTTGTTTGCAGTGTTGGGGAAAATGACCAAACCTAAAACACCTGAAGCACTGGCTAAAAGGAACAAACAGTTCGACCTTAACTTTAGTGTATAGGAAGATGTGCATCCTAAATGATTATTTTAACCCTGGAAGTAGGTACAATGTCTTTATTTTCATTTTTTTGTTTACACGGATAATGTAATGGATGGGAATTGGCGATGAAATAAACTCTTTTAATTCAGGTAGGGAAACTTGTGTGGGAATTTGAATGATGATGCCGGTTTTGCAATTGAAATGTTTTAATATTTTAGGTTCGTACCCTTCTTTTTTTAAATTTGATTTTTATTAAATAATTTGCTGCTTTCGCAGCCAATTTTGTTCACTTTTATTATCTTTTAATTTCAGATTAAACAGAACTACATTAAGTTCTAACGCATTAATTGGTTTCTTATTTTGTCTATTGAAGTTGTCACTGTTTTTTGTCGATATATACGATATATGGTCCTTTATGGTTGGGGGGTAAAAAAAGCATAGAATTTTCCTTATTGCTGGCGTTGCCGTTGTCTTTATGTTCTTCTTTTGATTGGTTTTTACTGTCCTCTAGGTCATTGCCCTTCTTTATGTTTGACTCATATGAATCCGTTACGTTTTCTGGTGTTTCTGTATGTTCACTTTGTCTTCGTTTGGTCTCCCTTTTTTTTGAATTGCGGTAAATTTTGGGCGTTTTGTTATGGCTGCATCCAAGCTCAAGGGTTTATCCTTGGCTGATTGCGTCATTTTTTGTTTAAGGGGATTTATCCCCGTTTTAAACTTTTTTAAAACTTTGCTACAGTAAGCAAAAAATTCAAAAGAATTGGTTTAAATAATTGAGTTTATTAAATTGGTTGATGTTGTGTGGTTGGTTTAAACCACTTGTTGTAATCTATAAAGTTTAAATATTTGAAGAGCACGTGACTTTCTTCGCCGGTCTAGGGTTGCCAAGTGTGACAACTTACCTTTGTCGCTGCCACGCAGCGCTCACGCGGCCATTGAGAAGAATTGGGACGGGGCGCCTTAATAACATGCTGTCGATTGATAGTTGCAATCGATGGTTACAAGGATTTCTCAATATCAGTCTCACCTGTGGCAGGACTTCGGAAAACTATAATGGCAGCACCGATGGTAACGCTTGGCCTCACAATCGATAATCGAGTCAAGAGAGTGGCCAGACAACGGAACACGAAATGATGAATTTTGCAACGGGGAAATGTTCGAACTTCACGCGGGAAACTGTCTAGGGAACGGGGAACTGTATGGGGAAGACTCAAGTCGTTCAGGACAATGCCTTGGGAAGAGTCTAACACGAAACACTCTTGGGAAAGTTTAAGTTTTTGAGGGAGCTGTCTTGGGAAAGTCTTTTGAGGAAGAGTATGGTGAATACAAGTCGGGCGGGAAATTCGAATGGCCTAACATCAA